CAAACTGCTAAAACTCCCTGCTTCATGGGCACCTTCCACTCACATGTCCAAAAATCAGCATGTGCATCTCCCATTGCAAGGTCTTAATAAGATCCTCTCTGACACGGCCCCAGATTTGTTCCTACAGCAATTTAAACATATCCCTGGGCTCAAGAAAGCCACTGCTGCTTGTGTTCACCAGGGCAGAGGACCCAGATGCACAAAATTCACCTTATACAATTAAGAAGGAAACTAGTAACTTATTTTACTATGGCTTTAAGCATCACAGGCCTCTGGTAGCAACACGCAGGCATTTAGGAATTGCATCGACATTGCCTTCCTGTGACCAATATGAGGGCCCCGTGGAAAAGGCAGCTCTGGTGGGGTTTGGTCACACCACAATTTGTTAAGCACCAATTTGGAAAGAAACAGCTGTAGTCTATCCAAACCCACACACAAAGAGCCTTTGGGGCTTTCCTGTTCAGGGATTAAGACTTCTGGAAAGTTTAATGTAACCCCAAAGCTCAATGCTGAATGTGACTCCCCTGCTTCATCCCTACCAGGATACAAGTGGAAAAGCAGCACTGGGAAGCACCTCATCAGAAGGAGAGATGAGAAAGAACCTCTCATTCTTCCTAAATGACAAGATCCAAAAGTAGCATGAAGGAAAAGAGTGAAGGAGGTTGCAGTAAACACCCTTCGAAAGGGTCTGAACACTGGGGGGCCACCTTGACCAAGGGACAGGAGTCCTAAGGCCCAGCATTAAGTAGGACAGGAGAATTCAGAGAAGACATCTCAGAAATTCCCTTAGTTAAAAAGGGCTAAGATTTGGGACTTGCTAGACACCCTTTGCTGATTAGATCCTCCCCCCGACCCATATAAATTCACCTAGTTTATACAGACAGTTCTGACTCCTGTTCCCATCTCCACAGTCAGAGAAGGAATAACAAAAGTTATTTACAAAATTTGTTTTACATATATAAATATGCTAAAATCTCACTTGGTACATGGCACAAAGCAGCAAAGGAGAATTTCAGGCCACACCAAAATGAAATGTTTATTGAATAGCTTTTTCCTTCTTAGGAAAATGAAGGTTTGCATTCCAAAATTAATAAATTTATATCAATCCCAAAAGAAACTTCAAAATTCCTTTACTCTTACAACAGGGATTTTATATGACCAAATTTAGAAAAAAGCCATGATTAAAAGCAGAATGCAATTTATTGTTCTCCATATTTTCTCCATATGCCTATGAGCTTGAAACTGCACTGCTGTTATTGAAAACAGAATACCAAGACTGCTCCAATACTTCCAAAACAGGTACAAAGGGCTTCTTTTCTTAAGATTTCATTCACTGATCCAGGTCAAGACTCACTAGTTCCCAGGGATCTAACTTAAAGCTTCCTCATCACCAAGTTTCATTATTTGGTTCCCCCCCTCCTCCTTTTAAGAATTTACTGGAAGGGAGAAAAATCTCCTGGTTTATTTTCCTGGTCCCACTGACACGTCTCCCGTGTCCCACTTACACTTACCAGCAGCCACGAAACGCTGCCAGCTCTGCCCCTTTTGGCTGCAGACAACGTCGTGACGACACCAGCATCCGTGGAGCCGCCGGCTCCGCGAAGGAGGGACGTCCTGCCTGGAGCTGCAGCTCCCCGGGCTCATGTCACCTGCCCTGCCACACACACACTTACGATTTAACTCCTCACCCAATTCATCTGTCTGTGCGTTTGGCTGTTCTTCTTAATACAGCTTCATGAGCTGCCTCAGAGGCAATATTGCCAGCACTCCGGCCCCAGCACACAGACCACATGGAGAGAGGTGCTGAGTTAATGGAAAAAAACATGAAGCTGCAAGGTCGGGATCTGCGAATCCGACCCCCAGCATCTCTGCCTCAGCGTTTCCAGCAGTGCCTGAAATGCTGCAAGTGCAGAGAATTTGCAGAATCGCAGCCTCAGTTAAAGTGCTGGACAAACAGCGTTTGGTGAGAAACCAATTTCACCAATTTGAGAACCGTCCACAAGCCAAGAGGCTCCGGACACACCAGTGTAACCAGCAAGCTGCAGGCGTGGGCGCCCGCTTGTCTATCAGCAGCATGGAAATCATCTGTCCAACGGATCAGAGCATCGCTGGTTCCAAGCCTGCTGAAGATGCATGTGAAGAAGGGGCTATTTGTATAAAATGAGCATATTGTGGAGTAATTATTGGCATTGGAGAAACCTTGTAATTAGAAACAAGTGGGCGTTCTTTGTTTGTAAACAAATTGCATTTTGGTTCATCAGAGATGCTCCTTTAAGGACGAATTACAGCAGATGCTGCTTGTGTTTGCAGTGATTGAAAGGCCCCACCTGAATAAGCTGGAGAAGGGTCAGGATTCCATTTAACCCCGCGGGTTCCCGACAGCAATCCCGTTGGCACAAGCTGCAGCCACGTCTGCAAGCACAGAGCTCGTGGAACTGCTAATCAATTGCACAACCTTTTCCTGGAGGTGCCACTGCAAATCCTGTGTGCTTCAAGAGGGAGCTAAAGCTGTGCCCACACAGTGCCAGCCTGGCCATTTTCACATCTATGAATGTCCCTCCTGTTCCCACTAAGCTGAGCTGTCTGATAGCACAAACTATGGATTAGCATCACAAGACCCTTCAGTAGTATTTCCTATTAAAAATAGGGATGGAAATAATCCATAGCAATGACAAAAATACCTTGCTTTAACATTGAGAGAAGTGACAACATTTTCATAGTATGTGGGCACATATACACTAAAATTCCAAAAATCTCCAAACCAGAGCAGCCTACCTACCCCTCACATGAAACATCAACTCATCAGGGGGTATTTAAAGAGAAAGGGTTCAGGGTGGGAGATCAGGATAGACTCATGATTTTTACTTAGAAACTTCCTGAGTTGACAAGATGGCAGATTCTTAAACTATTGTTTATTTTAGTGAGATGATTACCATTCTTTTTCGATCTTGTTCTATTTCTTCTAGCCATTAGGATTTTTTTTTAAATGAAGGATTGCTTTTTAAATAAGGAAGCACAGCAAAAGAGAAAGTAGGAAAAGTAAGAAAAGCAGATTAAGCATGGTATACATTCCATCACAAACATGGTACAAACACCACCACCTACTGTTCAAAACAAGATGCTAAACCAATGGCACAGGTTAACAGAGAATTCAGAAAACAGAAACCAGCAGGTAGAAGGTCAAAGCAGTCACTAGAGAGCAGTTTGCAATCCACAGCCATCACCTCTGTACTTGTGACCTAAAACAAATAGACCTTGTTTCATCCAAGGCTCTAGTTTTAACAGGAGCTACTGTGTACTAAAACTCAGCCACCTGACTATCATATTCACTTGGTGCTGGTATCTGCAGTGTAAGTTCGTGCCAAAAGTTGAAACAAAAATAAGTCTCTACTACATTTCTCAGTTATTCTTGATAGGTAATAATTTTTAAGTGTTTAGAAATAAAATCAGGATTTTTCCTGAAATCTCTTCCTCAGCTTTAAACAAAAAGAATAGACTGGAGTGTGTGTGTTCAATAGCCCTCCTTTTTTTTTTCTGTAGACTTTAGCAGATTTATTTTTGTTTGGCGTTTTTTCAAGTTCTGTATTTCTGAAGAAACAAAAGTTTAAAAAGGAAAAATTTAAGAACCACTGTCTCACCTTTGCTTAGGATCTTTCTTCAGCAAACCTGACAAAAGAGATTTTGCTTCGGGTGACAAAGTGCGTGGAAATCTAATCTCCTCCATGAGGATGAGTTCGAAGAGCTTTTCGTGGTCCTGGTTGTAGAAGGGGAGCCGACCACACATCATTTCATACATCACAACTCCTAGACCCCACCAGTCCACGGCACGACCGTAGTCGTTATCTTCCAGCACCTGCAGGAATGTAAGGAAAACATTTCTGAACCAGGAACAAGCACAGGATTCAGGAGGCCAAACTTGAACCGTTAAATTCACATTCTTGCATTTCATAGCCAAATTTATCAGCACAAGTATTTGCAGAAGATCCCTTTGAAAACAACTGGCACTCATGTTCACTGATCACTGCAGGAGAGAAAAGGGGTAAGAGGAGAAGGAGCGTGTATGCCACAGCCTCCATGATAAGCACAAACTTCTGAAGTCTAAAGGCTAAGAACTGCTCTCACATTACAGAGCCAGCTGCTATAGTCTCACCTATTCCCCATTCCAAACGGGATCCCAATGATAACAACAGGCAGCCGTTCTGGGGAGAGGAAACGGTTCTATCAGCCCGTGACTTGGGATGTGACAAATGGTACATCGGTCACCTCCGTATGAACCTGGACTCACCCAGTGGGTCACGCTGCACATCATGAAAGATCATCTGCAAATATCAAAATAAATCACTAACTCAAATTAAAACCAAGAGCCCCAGCACTGGCCCTACCGTTTGACCAAGTGCAAGGCTATAGAACGGCAGCCAAATTGTCTTGGAAAAAACCTCCCTTCCTCCGCAAGTGCTCAGCACTAGTACACTGGCTCGAACACAACTTCATTTGCAGCCCTGTAACCAGGCACAGGAATTGCCAGCGGGACGAACACCTCGCAGCTGGCACAGTGGAATAAGAGCAGTTCCCTTCACTTTTCCCCCATTTGGGGCATTTTTGCCCAACAAGCCCCAGTTACTGCAGGGACTCAGGACCCGGCACAGTGCTCAGCTCTTCCTGCCTGCCCAGCAGCAGCACCAAAATGCTGCATTTCTGGTTGTCAGAAGGTTGCAGAAGTCAGGAGTGGTTTGTGGCCTGTGGGCGCCTACGTGGAGCTGATGTTACAAGGGCTTCTCTAGACTTGATGTCTCCTATGCAGTTGTCCGTAGCTGACACGGTCTCATATTCCAGATTCTGTCCTCAGGTTTTAGTTGTCATCTTTACTCTTTTTACAGGTCTGTAGGCAACTGCTTAGTGCCGAGAGGATTTAAAAGCACCGCTGTGCTACCAGCGTTCTTGCTTGTTGTGTGGTATCCGTACAAGCTCACTTTACACTGATATGGTTCAGAATATCCAGAAAAAGACTCAAAGAGCCAACTAAACTCCATGCAAATTTTGTCTTTAACAGAGCAGGATCTGAACCCCTTAAAGATCATTTATAAAGGTCTTACACACACACGAAAAGAAGTATCAAGACACTCTGCAATAACTGCTTGCATTCTGCCTCCCTTTATTCTCTAATTATTCTCCTTAATTACCTAAACGAGGGAAAGGGCCTGCAGTAAAAATCAAAAGGCTGCCAGGTATTAGATTACCCCACATAGGTCTATTTACAGCATCCCCTGCCGTATGATTCACACCAAACGACAGCTGGCTCTACAGCTGCCCCATATATGTATAAGACGGACACAGCTGCGGGGCTGCCAGGATTCCCGGAGCCAACCTCATCCTCTCCGAGGAATCGCGGCCCGGCAGCTCCAGGACAGATTGTGTGACCGCGCAGGCAGCCGGCTCCCGAGTCACCCCCTCTCGGAAGGCGCTTCCTGCCCCCGCTGCCCTGTGCCTGCATCTCCTAAACAAAACAGACACCGTGGCTTCTATTCCTCCCCCTTTTTTTTTTCCTTTTAATGCTGCAAGAAAATACAGGAGGAAAGAACTGGAAGAAAAATGGCCCAGAGGTTATTTGTGCACATAACAAGCGCTACAAGTACTTCCAAGAGCAGCTAGTAGACTTCGAACAGTAATTTCATTAGGATAACAACACTGTGCTACAAATCAGGTTAGTAACCAGAACTCTGTATCCTTCACCTCTGTGACACTGCTGAACAGAGTATAAAACACTGTAATTTGAAAGCAAACTATGCTTTATTATAAATAGCATGTGCTCATATTGGTGATTGCACAAAATGGAGCAACAGAGTTAAAACAAAATAGACTATTAAAAAAAAAAAAAAAAGATTGCAACAAGCATGGAAGCTGGGAAGCAGCAAAGCAACAAGGGCATTTTGCTCACATTAATGGATGATCAATTCTCACCAAGCAGCTCCGGACTGCTGCGAGGTGGAATTTGAAGGCGAAGGGACGACAGCTGTAAACATCACACTCACTGATATATCTGACCCATCAGAGTTGACACGGCTCTGTCACTGTCATCCATGCACGAGATGCCAATATGAGCCTAAAAACAACTAGGCAGCAACTGCGCAAACACGCTGCTGCGCTGGACTCAAGTGACAGAGAAGAACAAGCCCCCTCCTTTAAGGACCTATGACCTTAAGCACACAGAATGCTACAAATTTCCTGATATTTTGCATGCTATTGACCAGATGACAAAAAGTCTTCAGAGTGTAACACTCCAGCCCTGCAGCTGGGACTTGCAAGTAAGCGAGAGCTGGGAGTAATCCAAAGGATTTGTCCTACAGGGTTTTGGATGAGCCTCCTCATTACAAATATTTAAAAGAAAAACAACAGCAAATAAGACGACTGAAAGAACAACCAAATATATTTGCACAGGGAATCCCCACATTCCAGTCAAGGAGAAAAAAAAAAATGTTTTTTAATAGTCTCGCAAAGCCTTCATGAGAAACTGAAGTTTGGCTACCGATTTTATTTATTTTATACAAGAGTAGCAACCAAGTAAAAGGCACATTTGTGAATAAAACACACATTTTCATACTGCTAATTACTCCTTGCACCAGTGATTCTCAAATTATGGTGCATGGACCCCAATTTAGATTCCCTGATGATTTCTGGTGATGCATGCAGAGCTGGCAGCAACCACAAGACTGGCTCCACCTCTTGCTGCAAGCTGCTTTGACAGGTGCCCACGTTCTTCATCATTATGAAGAGACTGGAGGCCCTTGAAAGCAGCTGCAAGCTAAAGAACAAAACACAAAAACCCCAAACAAACAAAAAACAAAGCATACAACTGCCTCCACCACCATGCAGGTGAAGAACTCAAAGCGCCGAGCAGCAGGACAGCAGCTCTCAGCAGAGATGCATCATCTCCACCTGGGCTTTCCACACTTTGCACTTCCACATATTTTAACTGAGGGCACGTTTGCTGCGCACAGTTCTCCTGCCTGGGACTTCTGGGTGTGCCTATAATATATATATATAATATATATTCTGCCTGCAGCCCCAGACTTGCTCCTGCCTGTGCTCCGAGCCGGACGGCAGCCCCGTGCCTACGGGCAGCAAAGCGCCCCGTGCAAGGCACTAAACCCTTCTGCAGGGCACAGGGCATCAGCTCCCAGGGCTGCTGCCTCCGGCCGGCGCAGCGCGTGGGCTGTACAAACTAGTGTCTGCCTGCACAGCGTCCTGCACACAGACACATCCTCCATCGCACAACCGCCTTTGATCTGCCCTCAACCACCTCGCTGCAGCGACAGCGCCTGCGTTGCACAAGCGGCCGCAGGAACAGCGCCGGGGGAAAGCTGCACACGCACACTCGCATTTCTACACCTTGCAAAAAGGGCTCAGCGCAACGGGAAAGGGGCAACTTGGGAATTTAGGTTCCCTACTTCGGAATATTTGCATTGAAACAGAGTTGTTTAACATTAACACTGAGGAACATCATAGGTTTATAAAATCATGAAATGATCAGCACTTTTAATGTTCGCAACAACAACTGCTGGGAGAGAAGGAAAAAAAAGTCTGACCTTTCTGACCTCCTGAAATGCATCCATTTTATATTGCCTTCAAGAAATTTTACTCTTTGAACAAGTCTTGTTAATAGCTTTCGATTAGACCAATATGTGGCATTTGAGAGTATCATTTAGTACAGTGGCCAGCACAAGCATACCTCTGGTGCAAGATACTCTGGAGTGCCACAGAAAGTCTTCATCGTTGCTCCATCCTTTATGCCTTCTTTACATAGTCCAAAGTCTGTTATTTTTATGTGTCCATCTTTATCCAGCATGAGATTTTCCAACTGAAATGAAATCCAAATGCAAGACACTATTAGATACAACATACAGTGTTTCTGAGCAAGTCAACTGAAGATTTGAATTTCTGAAGCTCAGTTTACAACTTTGTTCTCAATGGATTAAGAAATAGCTGCCAAAGAATAACGTGAATATATATTTATATATTTACATTATATATACAAATTAGTTTCATATATTTATATCACTTTCCCTAGTTCTTTATGGGACATCTTTTTGGAACTACTACATATACCGCAAGAATACAGAAAGTATTGTATTTATACTTATAAAACATTATCACCAACAGAACACCAGATTCTTTTAAAAATATCTCAAGTATCTCCTCCAAGAATTCCATTTCTACTTCTTACTCTAAATGATTTTAAAGCATATTGTGTACTAGGATCATCTGTACAATTAAGACATTTACCAAAGAGACCTTGTACCTGACAATCACTTTATATCAAGCACTTGATACTCATTCTAGTCTGCACCTCTAATTTCTGAAAATGCAATTCAGGCTTTCAATGCAGAGTTTTGACTATTTCTGAAATAAAGTGCCCTTTCCAAAGGGC